TTTTTTTTTCTCATTTTGTCTCTCATAGTTGAGGTATACCTATGATGAAAATTACAGGCCTCTCTCATCTTTTTAAGTGGGAGAACTTGCACAATTGGTGGCTGACTAAATACTTTTTGCCCCACTGTATAAGTGTAAATGTTTATATCAGTTACAAAATCATTGTGCCTGTATTAAAAATGTCTATTATTTTGCTCATATTTCAATATTTCTTAATAAATAAATAAATAAATAAATAAAATAAATAAACAAACATAAAACATTAAATGTTATATAAATATACTTAAAAATGTTATAAAAAATACTTAAATATATATTTTAGCCCTGTTTTATATGAACTATCTGATAAATCCAAAGAAAATAGTGGAAATTATGAAACCATAGCTTTTTTTTAGGATGAAGAAAAATTCTGGGGATCACTTTGGTGTGTTGGAGAATGATGGAATGTCACTGATGTTTCAGGCTGCAGCCCATTTTGTGCTTGTCTGTCAACAAAGACTCTGCTGAAAAAGCACAGCGTTATGACAGTTCGGCGGTTCCATGTGACCTGCGACCCCTGCAGCAGAGGATGCTGAGTGGACGCTGGTGAATTAACGCCAGGCTTCATCTCTCTCCTCCTCTCCTCACAGGTTAGGACAGGCCAAGCAAACTGCTTAATACTGAGTCAACAAAATGAGCGGTCCCATGTGAGGGACCAACTTGTGAGAGTTCAGACTATTCATCATCCAGATCAGCGGTCCGTACCATAGGTCATTAGGTTATAAATGATTTCATAACTCCCATGGAAATTTTCTTTAGTTGACCAAAGGAGGAGGGGTTGTTTGTGAATCTCACCCTGCCGTTGCTGACTACAGCTCTCTGTCCGGCTTTCAGCTTCAGAACTTCCTTACAGTACTTCTGCTGGCTGTGCAGGAAGTCCACCTCCATCGTGTTGAACTTCTTCTCAAAGGCATCATGGTCCATACCCTAAAGGAGACCAAACACATATTTAACACTTAAATACCTGAAAAAGGCAACATACATAATTACTACTTGGAAGAAAAAAATCAGCAGCTACTAGCATACTTCAGTCTTTGATATCACATGATCTTCCAGAAATCATTGTAATATAAGCTGATTTGTTGCTCAAGAAACATTTATTATTATTACCAATGTTGAAAACAGCTATATACCTACTATACAGTATGTATATGTATAATACATACTGAATCTTTACTGACACAAAGAATAATTATTTTCAGAATAATAATTCTTCTGAATAAATTTCGCACTGAAGACATAGGGGGTGAAATCTTGTGTGACCCCTGGTTTGGGGTTCCCTGAGTTGACCTAAGTGTAATAAAAATGTGGAAAGAACAAATCGATCAGCTCATTAGTTTGTTTTTTGATTACACTGCAATGAGGAAATAGTCAATCAGTGAGTTATTGACAACTAAAGGGGGCACATTTGAGCAAGTGCAGTCATTAGAGTATTTTTGAGAGAAGTATTAAATTATCTAGACCTATGAAAAATGTGTTGCCATTGGAGACCGTGTAGCGCTAATCAATCATTAAACATTTTAATTTATCAATGATATCACATGATCTTCCAGAAATCATTGTAATATAAGCTGATTTGTTGCTCAAGAAACATTTATTATTATTACCAATGTTGAAAACAGCTATATACCTACTATACAGTATGTATATGTATAATACATACTGAATCTTTACTGACACAAAGAATAATTATTTTCAGAATAATAATTCTTCTGAATAAATTTCGCACTGAAGACATAGGGGGTGAAATCTTGTGTGACCCCTGGTTTGGGGTTCCCTGAGTTGACCTAAGTGTAATAAAAATGTGGAAAGAACAAATCGATCAGCTCATTAGTTTGTTTTTTGATTACACTGCAATGAGGAAATAGTCAATCAGTGAGTTATTGACAACTAAAGGGGGCACATTTGAGCAAGTGCAGTCATTAGAGTATTTTTGAGAGAAGTATTAAATTATCTAGACCTATGAAAAATGTGTTGCCATTGGAGACCGTGTAGCGCTAATCAATCATTAAACATTTTCATTTATCAGACTTGTAATGAAAAATGGCTTCAGTGCCAATAACAAATCTCGGGTGTATGAGCTGTGCAGAGTCAGATTATTAGTGATTCCAGCATTTGGCCTTTATGAACAGGAACGAAATGCTAATATCAGCACAACACCTCTCCCTGCCATCCAATAATAGAGCCATTACAGGTCCCAGACACAAGCTCTCAGGGAACCAAGAATCTCTCTGCAACCATTTTCAACTAATAAAACTCAGGAATGCCGGGTTGGATGGAACACTTTCTCTTATCTTATATGCTACGATGGAAATAAATAGAAGGAGCAGGACAACAAAATAACAAGAGGACAGAAAGAATCAAAAGAAAGCTCTCCATGTATCTTACAGACCAATCAGATTTTCTGAGAGTTGCAATACTCTGTCAATAAGACCCTAGATTCCAATTGCGGTTGTAGAAGATACAGGGCAGCCATTCCCAGAACTGTCGTTTGTGTGCAAGTCTGAGAAAATTGCATGTGGTTGAGTCGTTTTCATTGGATGTGTTGATGGGGTGAAGGCACACCATGGAAAAGAAGAGAGGCCCTGCTTGTGTCATTTCATGGTGATGACAGGAGGAAACTATAAAAGTTGTTGTGTGCTTTGGAAGACACAAGCCTTCTAGACTGCAAGTGGGAGGACAAAAGCTACTATGAACTAAGAAAACACATTAAATGAAAGCAATACTTCATAAAAGGCAGTGCATTACAATGATTTTAACATAATTAAAAAGTGTTGAAACTATGTAAAAGATAATTTTTTTTTACAGTTAATGATGCACCATATATCTGTATTATATTGGTTACTGCACAATATTAATATTAAATATTTTACTTTTATCAGTATATAATGGAATGGATATTGTATGTATTCATTCTATTATATACTGATAAAAATAAAACATTTAAATAATGTGTATATGTATGTATGTATGTATGCATGCATGTATGTATATATACAGTATATATATATATATATATATATATATATAGAGAGAGAGAGATAGAGAGAGAGAGAGACACACACACACATACACATATATATATATATACTGTATAGTACATATGGATATGTAATCTTTTTAAAATTAATATCCATCTTTTATACTGTACATTATAAGTTTGTGATGTCTAAATTCACTCGTAGTACTTGTAACAATGTAGAACTGTAATATCAGCCATGTTTATTGGCTTTTCCGTATTGACCAGAAATTTAATATCGGTGCACCTCTAATAGTTGGGTTTTTGTTCTTTCTCCTAAATCTGGTTGTATCTTGAGGTCATTCATCTGCATCAATATAACTCTATAATAATCTTGCAGCCATAAACAGCCAACATGGAATTATGTATTTCTGTAATAGACTTTCTGGTCTTTCAAATCAGACTGACAGGAGAATGGCACATTTCCAGCAACTTAACTCAAGTGACATAAATTAAAATGGAAAAAGAAAAAAAGACAGACAGGCTAGAAAAGAACAGGTGTGTTAAGATAAATCCAAGTCAAAATGCTCTACACAGAATTCCACATTACCCAGACACAGTATTTCACACTCCACTGACCTGTTTAAGTAAGTGCTTAATCTTGGTGCCTTGTTTGAGGAGCTCCACATTTTCTTCTTTGAGGAGTTTTAGGGTGAAGTCGAGCATGTTCTTGCTGCTTTGGGTGAGGAGAGAAGCCCAGACGGCTCGGTACAGAGCGCTGTTGTCCTCTGTGGGCTTTCCACTGGGGTTATTGATCACCCCGACACGACAGTTGGAGCTGCTGGATTTCTACAAACAAACACTGTGGATTAGAGACTCTCTCCAAAAGGAGACCACAGCAAACCAGTAACATAAACTATGCGATTATGAATGTCTTAAACATTTGGGTAAGTTTACTTAACAAAATGAAACAGTGATCATCATATAGAGATTTTGGGAGGAAGAATTGTGATATTAGTAAAGTCACTTGTATGTAAAAAAACAAAAAAAAAACAGATTTGATTCAATGAAACATTTGGGAGCTAACTGGCACGAACTGTTTTATTTTTTACAATAATATTGCGATTTTTAAAATGTATACTTAAAAAAACATTCAAAATGGGGATTACTCTGCATTGTACTTTGTGTGTGTGTATATATATATCAATTGGATCATTAACTCTGGATTTTGTTCATTAACCAACATCAGAATAATGCTTTCAAAGATGAATTGCTCTCAGATTAATTACTAAAATGCACGTGTACTTCTGCTCTGAAGATGCGATTCCTGTGGTTACAACTAATTGGAAATAAAAACTGCAGTAATTTACCATATGTTTCAAGGCGTTCCGGAGCAACTGCCTCCCAGAGGGCTGTTCAATATCTGCTACAATCCACATGGTCACTCCGTACAACACCTCCTCTTCTAAAGAAGAAGTAAAAGAATGTTACTTAAAGTCCCCATGAAATAAAAATTAAAGTTTTTTGGGTGTTAGTATCAATATGTTAGTCTTAAGGTTATCTATAAGGCAGTGTGCTCCAAAACAGTGACAAAATTCGCATTTAGAAGATATAAGCATTCAAAGCTTGCAGTTCGTCACTTCCGCCAAAACGGCTCAATGATTTTTTTGACGTCACATCGTACTTCAGCTTCTCATCAAACTTTCTGTCCAATCAAATGCTCTCTAGAATCCGAAGCGCCCGCCCCCTACACTATAAAATAGACGCTGAAGCCGCGGCTGAAATCTGTCACTTGTCCACAGAATTAGTATTTTCTGTACAGTGAATGGCACGTAGTGCACTATATAGGGGACAGGGAACGATTCAAACAGTGTAAATATGCTTTCCATTGAGGAAAAGAAGAAGTCTGGTTTCGCGCTGTGTCACGCTAACCACCGCACCGCACACACACACTCTGCTCCGGTCCAGAGACACAATAACACGGAGCGGATCACATGCGCGAGTCGGCGCAGACCACAAAATGTATCGGAGCTATTTAAATTCTACACAGAATGCTATATTTTATAGCAATATGGATGAGATTGTGGCTAGCATACCCTGTCAAATGCGGCTTTATGGAGCTCAACGGCTCTGAACAGCTCTAGCCCAAGCTGTGATATAAACTAACGCTATTGGCTATTTTAAAAAGGGGCAGGGCTGCTTGATATGTCCCGCCCTGTCTTCCTGTTTCAGTTAAAATGACGTCAACACAGAGTAACGCTGTGTGTTTCTAAGCATTTCAGGGGACCTTTAAGAATAATGCTTTTTTAGAAAAACACAGTTTGGATAGGTTTTTAGCAAAGAAGTCTACATGTATTGTGTTAAATTATTGAAAGTAACATTAAACCAACAATGTAATGTTAATTATGATGTTATACTAGCAGTATTGGCAGTGCACTGTCAAACACTTGACAATTGATGGCAGCTACTAAAAACATTATAAAATATAAAACCCCTCACAAAATATAAATTAAAAAGTCACGACTCACCATCTCTGATGAAATACTTAATTCTCTTAGAGACAACTGCTGTTTTGTCTTTGGAGTCCAAGTATGAGAACATAGTTGTGTCATCCCAGTCATCAGCAACTATTTGTTCAATTATAACAGACATTATTAAGGCAGTTAATAATCAACACTGTAAAGGTATGGGTAATGATATGTTGATGATTGTGATATGACAAAATAATTGTGAAGGAGATTGCAGAGTGTGACCGTGACAGTGACAATGATATGGTGAGATGACAGATCAATATTGGCACTGGTTTGGGTCAGGTGATCATTAAAGGGCTACCTGGTGAGGAAGTGAAATCCAGATATCGCCTCTCAGAGCTCAGAATGAGAGGGTTGATACGGGGAACTACATTGGTCTGCTCCATTAGGAAGTCCACCACATCAACACTCTCAGTGATCTGACCCTGGATATGACAGGAAACGCCTTAGAACTTGCTAACCAACCACATTTAAAGGATTACAGTCAACAAATCACATCACACAGATGTATGGGTGACAAAAATAAATGGTCAAACCAATGAATTTGAAGAAACACAGTAAGAGATATAAAGCCAAAAAAGGTACCCAACCATAAAGACAGCTCTCTGGAAGAAGTTGGTAGTTTCCATGATTTTCTGCAGAAGAACCGTCTCTATTTCTTCTGGGTCCATCTCCTCACTTCTGAGTGGAATACCATTGAACAGACCCACTGGTAAAGCACCTAAACCACTCTTTCTGTAAAACCCTCCTCCAGCCTGAAAAAACACATCATACTAAACATTCATAAAGGCACTGACATCTATTTCCGAATTAAATCTTATGTCCATGATTTCCTAGGAATTTTCAACAACCAGTGGTTTATATTTACCAATGCTATGAAAACCATCTTGCCATTTTTTAAGTTGTATTTCAATTATAAAAATGCAATGTGCACTGAAAATATTTTGTATGTAATTCTCTGCACATTAAACTTGGGAAATTTAAAAAGAAACGTACATACAGCAGTTTAAGCTGACATTTTTTTTGGTCATCACAGAGCACATACTGTAACACTGTGTAATAGCATTACCTTTCTGTTGTCATCATAGCTTGAGTCCACTCCAAGAATTCTGGCAGCATTTTCTTTTGGAAATTTCTTTGTCAGATATGCAGTTACTGTATCCACAGAAAGAGTCTCTCCAACTTCCACCCTGTTATATATCTGGATTTGACAAAAAAAACAATAGAATTTAATGACCAAATTAGTACATTTACGTTCACAGAAGACGTCTTTGGATATCCCTCCTTCCTCGTCCATAAAATGAATGTCTTGAACAAAAGAATGTGTACAGTACATTATAACTGAAAATATCTGCTACAGTACACAGTATAAACCAGGCCTTCAAATATTAATACCTTAATGTGAAGGAGAAGCCTAAAGTAACATTAAAGTAATTTTGCTTTAAAAGAGAGTCAGAGCAACCACAAAGATACTCACTGACACCATGGACGTAAAAGCCTGTGCTTCATCATACTCCTCTGAGATGTAGTTTAACAGCCTAAAGAGAGCAACACCTGCATCCAAAAACCCATCCACTTTATCATCCGCACTGATAACCAGCACAAACCCAATCCTAAGAGACACGGAAACATAAATGCATATCAAATCTGGCATAAAATCTCACCAACCAAAAAATTATCAACAAATAAAACTGAACAGTACCAAAGGGCTCATGATAATAAAATGAGGTTTGTTTGTTGAATGTTAAGTAAGGCATAACGTCAGCTGCTTATTACATGGTTACTTACCAAACAGATAAAAATGGACCTGAAATATTGATTTGAGTTGAAATTATACGTAAGAAACCATTAAGTGACATGAAAATAGCAGAGCTATATAAGGAATTTTCTGTGACAATGGTCCATTCCACAGTTTAGCAGTCATTATTCAAAAGTTAACAATCAGAATCCCATATTTCAGTACAAGTCATATGTATAACTGAAAAAATGCTAAGATTCAAGTAAAATGAATTAAATGCTATTGTGGAGTGCACAAACCTCAGAGGAATGTTATGTTTGTAAAATAGTTCTGCTAATTTCACCAGCTCAATGCTCTCCTCTTGTATTGGGTCAAGAAACAGAACCTGCAAACAACAAATACAATTTTTCATTCTTTCACAAATTAGAATTAGAATGAACAAATTCATACAAAATGGGTCTGCAGCAGTGCTAAAAAAGTGGGGCATCCGAGGATAAACATCCCTGCATGAACCTGCACACACAGCTAGATTTCAGCTTAGACTATAATCAACTCACAAGCAAGTTGACTCACTAGGTTATAGAAGTTACGGCGTATTTGTCGAATAACTCCAGGAAATGTTGCTCTGAGGAGCTCTTGGACACTTGAGGGCCAGTGACGATACATGGAGTCCTTCTCAATATCATTAGCCCACTAGAAAATTACAGACATTTGTTATATTGTGAAAGCATTTATGCCCATTTTATCTGCAGCTTGGGTTCCAGAAGTATTTTATCCATTTAACTTTAGCATTAGCAAAAATGAAACAAACCAAAAAAAATCACGACATTCGATTCAAAATTGATACTTCGCATCCAAGAAGCTCATGGCAGGTTAGTCTTAAAAGGTTCTATTACACATTAATCAGTTAGTATTAAAACCAATTTCTCTATGTAGACTTAAAACATGGTATTTTACTTCCAGAATTCCAGAGCTCTACAACCACACTCAAATAATTAGCGTCTTACCATAATGGATGAGTGGCGGATGTCCAGGGCGTAGCTGTCCTCTACAGTGGTTGATGATGGTAAATGCAGGAACTTACTAACGCTGCTTCCTCTGATGCCAAGGTTATGAAGACCTTCGAGAATCTTAGCCTCGGTTCTGAGAATGTCCAGGATGCTACAGAGCAGTCGAGAATGAACAAATTTACAGAATGAGTTTAACATACATAAAACATGTTGAGGAACGTTAGTGGTGCCAATTACCATTTGGTAAGAGGATCTTGCACTGGGATCATACCTGAAAGGGTTATGAATGTCCAGGTCAATGTGTATTCCATTAATAAACAGACTGGCATCTCCAGGTTGGATCCCCATCGACTCACTCAACCTCTGAAATTTAAGGACCCTTCAGCTACGCCATCACTTTATGGACTTCACATCATTCAGTATGGACACGATTTGCTGAAACATGATCTTTTTGTATTGGATTCTTCATCTGAGACTCTCAAGACACTCCAGAGTACTCATCAAACTTAGAGAGGACATGTTTAATTTTCTAAAAATAAATCAGAAAAATCCTGGCCCACATGGCTGCACTTGAAACTTTTTTTTTTTTACAGTGCTCATCAGAAAAGTTGTTGATAAAACCTTACCTTTTGAGTGTCTTCTATTTCTTTCCTCATGTCTTGGTTTACAGCCACTCTTGTCAGTGATCTGTGGGGACAGTAAAACATGTACAGTCAGTACCAGCTCCCGCCAACATCCCAGAACAGTCATAAAAACTCATTTTAATCTCAGAAAACCTGTTCCCTCTTAGACGCCATATCTGCTATGCTGACAAACTGTAAACCACAGTAACTCTGACTCAGCAAATTCTGAACACCGCACATAAAGTTGTCTTGAGCAGCAGTGGAGGAAAGTCACAGTCACACATTAAAAATGACCTACACATAATGCATATGCATGCATTCTGTGCTGTTATACACACAAAAATGCATAGTTGAGTATTCTACAACAATAACGGTTACAAATATTCCTGTTCTCAACATTTTTAATGTTTTAAAATATTGGACTTAATCAGGATTCTATAAGGATGAACCTTTTAAAAGGCAACATTTGTGTAAATCTTTCCTTTTTTTCTTTTTGAGTTCTGATGCAGAGAGTTGTAACAAAGGTAATGATTTCTTTCTAGGATTTTTTCTTAGAGAAACCAAGACTGAATTTCAGACTTTTTACCTGGCTCTGCTTGGGAAATTTTGGCTGAGGTCTTGCATCAATTTGAGAGAATCAAACTTTGGCACAGTCATGATCCGAGATGCCGCCTGGAAACTGAGGTCTATTGGAAAGACAGAAAAAGGCATTTCAAAATCTTTGTTAAAAGAGCCAATAATCCATGAAAAAATGCCTGCAATGCAAGAGTTAGTTAAAACTATTCATAATTAAAATATAAATCTAAAATGTTGTAATTAAACGAACAGCTGAATTCAACATTGTCATAATTTACTTGTACACAAACACAAGATTCATTTTGAAGAATCTATGGCTGTTCTCTTCTATGCAATTACACTGAACGGGGGACAAGAGCTTTCAAGTTTCATGATGAAAGGGTATCAAAAGTATTTCACACGACATACAACAGTTTTTATGATGAACATTTTGAAATTGAAGTCATATATTGAGAAAATGTGGACATATGCCTTAGCTCTCCTTAATGCATTCATCTTAAACGCAGCAATTTTTGATTTGTGAATGCATCTGGATGAATGAGCTTCATTATTATAATAATTATAATAGGATACATTATGGTATGGAAAACAGTGACATATTTTTGTGTTCCAAGAAAGAAAGAACATCATACAGGTTTAGAACAACATAAGAATAAGTACAATATGTTTTCATTTTTGGGAGAAGCAATTAAGAAATGTATTTTTGATGAGGGAAAACATTATGACTGTGGTTGCCATACAGCTTGATTTTTAAACTAGTCTAAAGAGTCCAGACGAAAGGGTAAAAATTCCACATCAAAGTTATTACCACTTACAATTCCAAAAAGTTATCACAAAATCAAACGACTGTTTCAATAACCATCCTGATTACCATCATGAGAGCCCTTCATGTCAAGTAAAATAAATTGCTTCATTTATCTATCAGTGCAAAACGAAAACAGCTCTTATTTAGCCACTTTGCTCCAGGTCTTACAGTGCAAAATTGCACTTGGCTGTGAACATGAGCATCTGTTCAGAAGTCTGAAAAGGAATAGGACAGATCGCTGCAGCAAGCAAAGGGTACAAACTGCAACCTTTCCACTGCTTCCCAATTCATCAAGTGGACAGTTCTCTCCAGAAACCATGTGGATCACTTTAATCTCACTGGGTGACGCAGCACCGAGACCAGAACACCGTAAGAGAGGACCATCAATAACAGCAGCCTTCCCACCTTGGAGCTCCCACACTTTGAGGGGAGTCATGTCATTGGTGCTCTCCAGTAGATGCTTCCTCAGCTCTCTAAGTTCCTCCTGAAGCTCTGGGTGAGACTTTCTGGAGGTGAAAAAGAACACTGTGAGACACTGTTTCACATACTGTAATGTGCAAATGTTATTATTCCTTTTGATCTACTGTATGGATAGATATAAAAGGTATAACAAAGAGAAATAAATCAGAGTGCTTACTTTAATTTCCTAAACAGAAATCCTTGGACTTCATCATTTTCAGCCTCATTATCAGTGGTGAGTGATTTGGATTCTATAAACAAATTCAGGTGATGTCAGTTTCAAATTATTTGTTTCAATATCATTAGTTACTTCTATTTTATAGTGAACTTATTCTTTTCCAGGAAGTAGTTTCTCTACTACTAATTTTGTAGTTTCACTACTTTGAAACTACACTACCATTCAAAAGTCAGGGGTTGGTACAATTTTTTTTAAATGTTTTTTTTTTTTTTTAAGATTTCTTTTATACTCACCAAGGTTCTATTTGTTTGATAAAATCAGAAATCATTCTAATGTACTGAATTGGTGCTTGATAAACATTTAGTAAATTATCGCTATTAACAACTGTGCTGCTTAAAATTTTGTGGAAACAAAATTCAAAAGAACAGTATTTCTGACATACAAATATTATGTAACAATGAAAAGTCTTTACTGTCACTTTTGGTTAATTTAATGTGTCCTTGCTGAATAACAGTATATTAATTTCTTCCAAAAAGACTTACTGACCACAAACATTTGAAGGGTAGTGCAGTTTGTCAAGCTACTCATAATTGAATGCATATTTCTTAACACTGACTATTAGAATAAAACTGTTATTGAGTTCTGTCATTTATTACTTATTATTATTTATTTGAGATTTTATGATACCTTTAACTTGTGTGTCGTCAACAGCTTTGTACTCGGTGCTTTTAATTGCCAGTTCAACACCAAATCCAGACAGCAGCATCTTTTCATTTTTTGGCTCCTGTGGTGAGAAATCAGTGTTTGGGGCAACAGGTATTTACTATATGGCACAGACTCTAATAAATTCAGAAACTATATAAAACATTAAATCATGATGAAATTACACTGCTAATACTCACAAACACAAAGTGTCTTAGCACATAGACGAGTTTGCCCTCCTGTGCCCGCTCTGACAGAACCTTATGAAAAGTATTGAACTCCTTTGTGCCGATTTCAGCATAAAGAACAGCTACAGGCAGGTCTGTCCCATTGACTCCAGGGTACTGATGGTCAGACTTGTACAGGTAAGGTCTTGGCCTGCATAGGACACATAAAAGAAAGGTTTTGAGAAACCACTTGATTTTGACACAACCCATGTATAGAAAAAATATTCCCCAAATATTTTTGAATACAGTATACTGTTGGTTAGTGTTACCTGCCTGCTGCAGTCTTCAAGAGCTTCTTCATATCCTTGGTGCTGCAGGCATTTTGACTGTGAACAACCACAAAAGCAGTGCAGCCATCAGGAGGAGGTTCATCACTTGCTATCTATAGATTGAGAACAAACGGTTAACAATACGTCTATGGGGTAAACCACATAGTAGCAGTCATTTAAAATAGACAAATATTTTAAAAAGCTTCAAATTTATAAAAAAAATACTTATGTACATATGTTATTGATAGTATACTAACTCTACTAAACCAGAAGTGTAAAGCATTTGGTTTTGTATGAAATCATTATTATGATACACAGAAAAGGACTCACTTGTTGGAAAGCATGCACAGCCGGTGAGTAAGCCCTGAGAGACAGAGACAGCTTCAGCAGGTTGACCTGAAGATCTGTCAAAAACTGCCCAGCCTTCTTGATGATCAAGTTATAATACGAGCGGACAGACTCTAAAGACAGGGAAGTACAGAGAATATCTCTGTATATGTTCTACTTAATGTGTAGTTTAACCAAACACAATCTTACATACCATTCAATGAATTAGGAATCAAAGCAGAGAAGATGAAATGTCAGTCATTACCTCCATTTTTGTAAACAGTTAACTCCTTCACAGTATCGACAAACTGCCAGAACTTCTCTTCACCATCCTCTCTGATGAACTCACTGTGGAAAAATAGATTTACAAAACAGCAGATACATAAGACAAACAGTAATAAAAAAAAAAACTCAAAGTTTCGCTATAAAGAGATCACAGTAAAATAACATTTTAGGAGTTTCAAGGCTATTAAGGCAGCAAATTCTTATTAATTTTTATTCAATCTTATTAATAAATTAAGTTTTGAATAATTATAATAATGTCTACATTTTGTATAATTTCACATTAGAGTCCACATTAGATTTTTGCACTGTATCACACTGTAGGACTGCATGAAACTGTGATTAAATTGTGAACTAAAGAAATGGTAACAAGTTGAAGCAGCTAAAACATTCAATATCCATTATATACATTTTAAACTAAATACTTGATATTTAAAAAAGGTTAATATATGTACAAATAAACATGAATTTTTATGCATGAAGTTGGTTATTTAAATATGAAGGGTAGCCAGTGAAATACTGAACTATGGGAGAATAAATACTCCAGCCCACCTTGTTTCCAGCAGGAGAGGGGTCATGGACCATTTAGCCTGAAGACTGGCGACGACTCCTTTAGACGCTGAGTGCACATGCTGGACCCTCAGCAAGACCAGCACAACAAAGACCACCCTCATGATCAGACACTGCTAAAAGAACATAAAGATAACACTACTGTAATTGTAATAATTAAGAAATATTTAAGAACAATTAAGAAATATTGCTGCTCATTTGTATGCATTTATAAAATGGCTAGAAACTGCAAAAAAGAAAAGAAAAGAAAATTTAAAAAATTTAAATCAAAAAGTTATTGATGTTTTCATACATCAGAGAACAAATGGACATGTTGCCATAAAAAGCTCCTATTACTTGTTTTGTGCTTCGGAATTGCAATAACGTTAAAGCTATAGGCCAAATTTTACATACAAATATTATGTAGAAGTTGGCCTTTATTCTTGGGATAGTATTTTCAATATCACACAAAAATTACTGTAATTGTAATAATTAAGAAATATTTAAGAACAATTAAGAAATATTGCTGCTCATTTGCATGCATTTATAAAATGGCTAGAAACTGCAAAAAAGAAAAGAAAAGAAAACTGTTATTGATGTTTTCATACATCAGAGAACAAATGGACATGTTGCCATAAAAAGCTCCTATTACTTGTTTTGTGTTTCGGAATTGCAATAACGTTAAAACTATAGGCCAAATTTTACATACAAATATTATGTAGAAGTTGGCCTTTATTCTTGGGATAGTATTTTCAATATCACACAAAAATTGTATTTTCAAATCATTGTCAATAAACAGCAGGTTCCCAGTGTAACAACTTATCCCATATATTGAGACGATACACTATAGGCTCAATGTTTGTTAAATGAAATATATCTTATTCCTGGACAATAACGTGATAATAAAACGTCTCAACAGAAAATAACTTCCATATCCACCTGAGCAAAAACTGGGAAATGTGAATTATTTTTAAATTAAAGTTAGTGTGAAGTATCGCTAAAACAAAGAAAGGACTTTAACTGTCCAGTAAAACGCCACGTAGCTACAATGTAACGTTATGTGTCGATTAGCTGCTACATAATTGTTACATGTTTTCGTTCTTTTACAGACATGAGCGTCACTGTAAAGCTACATACACTTCATGCAAATCAGATGAAACAGACTATGATTGTGATTGGTCATTCTTATGAATGAAGAAACAATAAACTGGGAAAAGGGATAAAAGACATCCAGCACAAACTGTTCAACCCCTATCAGCATTTCTTTCAGGAGCAACAACAGCAAATTATTCAACAGCAATAAACCGCGACCTGACTGATATAGACTATGAATATGTTTTAAAAACACACCTAAATCATCGGAGGCTGAGCCGCTGTGTTACCCGGTTTCACAGGACGCCGCCATTGAGGGGTCCTGCATCTTTAATTCCCTGTTCCACAAATGAGAAAGCGATACATTGTTTCCGCTTCAGTAAAAAGCTTCAACATTTTAGTGACTTATAAGCCGAGTATTTAAAATAAAGTTAAACTTAGTAATGGCAAAGAAATATCTTTCAGCACTTACATAATTTGTAAGTTGTACGCAGGAGTACGCTGTTCAGGCATTTTCACGGACAACTAATGTAATTGATGCAGTGAGAAAGTAACGGTAGAGCTCCTGCATGTGGAGTTGATGTCGGTGATATGAGCACACGGCGGGGCTTCCCAGTTTGATTCATCTATAAAATCTAAAATATTGATATGAAATCAAAATATTGTAGCTACAAATGACATCCCATTCATTTCTGTTTAAACAAATCACACATTTGGCTACTATTTTCAGATGGCCTATACGAGTTGTTTTGTAGCCTATAATTAGGGGGAGGGGGAATCAAGTTATTTTTAGAGGGCAATATTTATGTTTTTTAAAATATATTGTGTTTGTTTTTTTACAATAGGCCTATACAATTTGAGATTGCTGACCTAAAGGTGAAAAAGACATATTTACAGGCTATATGTGTACATAGGCCTATTTGAATTAAAGAGTTGATTTAATATTGTTAACATTTGTATATTAAAGTGATTGACTGATATTTTAGATTAACTTAATAAATATAACTATATTTTAAGTTGCTCTGCTCTTCAGAAATCGTGATTTTATGTTAAATTAGTTACTCCATAGGATATGCATTAGAATTTAATACTAATAGTAGGCTACTGTTTAAGATATTATATAGGCCTATCCTGGAAAATAATTACTTCATAGAAATAGAGTAAAATACCCAGAGAACTTAGTACCAGCTCGCACTCATGGTCGCGCTCAAAGGGGGTTGATTTAAATAAACCTGAAACAGTTTATTTACATGTTGCATGAAAGAAAAATAATATAATTCTGATTTAGGCCTAACTGAAAAAATGACATTTTTACGGTGATGTGTAAAGAATCAATGTCCAGTTATTACATAGCTCGGCTTATTATTGGCAATGACATTACAAAGAGTTGATGTCGGTGATATGAGCACACGGCGGGGCTTCCCAGTTTGATTCATCTATAAAATCTAAAATATTGATATGAAATCAAAATATTGTAGCTACAAATGACATCCCATTCATTTCTGTTTAAACAAATCACACATTTGGCTACTATTTTCAGATGGCCTATACGAGTTGTTTTGTAGCCTATAATTAGGGGGAGGGGGAATCAAGTTATTTTTAGAGGGCAATATTTATGTTTTTTAAAATATATTGTGTTTGTTTTTTTACAATAGGCCTATACAATTTGAGATTGCTGACCTAAAGGTGAAAAAGACATATTTACAGGCTATATGTGTACATAGGCCTATTTGAATTAAAGAGTTGATTTAATATTATTAACATTTGTATATTAAAGTGATTGACTGATATTTTAGATTAACTTAATAAATATAACTATATTTTAAGTTGCTCGGCTCTTCAGAAATCGTGATTTTATGTTAAATTAGTTACTCCATAGGATATGCATTAGAATTTAATACTAATAGTAGGCTACTGTTTAAGATATTATATAGGCCTATCCTGGAAAATAATTACTTCATAGAAATAGAGTAAAATACCCAGAGAACTTAGTACCAGCTCGCACTCATGGTCGCGCTCAAAGGGGGCGCTGCATAAGAGAAAAATGAATATTGACCGAGTATGACAGATAGGCTATGTCCAAAGCCGAAGCAAATGGTTAAACCCTTATGTAAAAATACAAACTGTCTATTGCAATAATCATTTACAAGAAAAAAAATGTTTTTCGACTACAAAATAGGCTACCGCATGCCCATAGTGAATTTGAGAAAATGTGCAGTTTGATTTTGTATGTAGCCAGGTTGATTTAAATAAACCTGAAACAGTTTATTTACATGTTGCATGAAAGAAAAATAATATAATTCTGATTTAGGCCTAACTGAAAAAATGACATTTTTACGGTGATGTGTAAAGAATCAATGTCCAGTTATTACATAGCTCGGCTTATTATTGGCAATGACATTACAAAAAGTTAAAAACAAAAAGCAGAGTATTAAGTATAAAACTGAGTCTAATAATAAATAACCTAGTTCAATAGCCTCTGTCTGAAATATGACATTAGTCTTCAAAGATATAGAACTAATATCTAATTTGACAGTTGACAGTTGAGATGCACATGCAGAGTATTTATTGCAATAAACACAAATAATAAGTATAGTCTATGAGGTAGAACATGCATAAAATGAGCAGCATAAATCGCTTGTGAAAAAACAAACAAACAAATAATTAAAAACAAACAAATCCTAAACGAATTTCCAGAATTTCCAATAAGCCATAAGGCTTCTCAACCAATAAGGATTGGCTCCAAATCATGTTAATATTCCCTTAGCATTCCTTTACAGGATTTTCCACAAAGTGATATGGCACAAAGATTGCACAGTTCAAAGGACTGAGAATTCTCTCAGTAGTGGCGACACTTTATTGCTGAATATAGCAGAGCACTGGACTGGGACCAGGTGCAGATGAAATTGTTTGCGTGCTACGAAAGAGCTCGTGCTATACCGGTGCGACAGCGCTCGCGTCTCATTGACATCATTCCGCATCATCCCGCTGATGCGCGTCGCGGGATGGATGGAGAACACAGTCTCATCGGAGAGCGCGGAGATTCCGCAGAATAAAACAGACCAACGAGGCACTTCAACCCGTTTGCTCTGAACTCAACGAGCAGACGTTAGTATTTTGAAGACTTGCACTTTATTTTACCACGATGTTCGGTTCTTAAACAGCATTTGGTTATGCATTTTGTTTGGTGACTTGCACTTTCTTTACAACTTTGTGAGAGAGCAAGTTTGATGTGAAGACTTGGATGTCATACTTTTGCGCATCTTTTTTACCATATCAACATGTGGCATGGGTTTTTGGGGCTGGATCCCACACGAACGTCCTGGAAGAAGACCTGGAGAGGAGATCATGATTCACACTAACTGCATGAAGAATTCCCTTGTGTTAAAATGAATGATAAACCCAACAAATGGATTTTCATCCCAATTTTAGCCATTCTTTTTGTCATGATTGGGTACCAGTATATTTGTCCGGCAGGCGGTCAGGCTTGCCATTTTAGGACAGGAGACAATCTCGTTAGGATCGGTCCCCCGTCCACTCCAGACCCGACCACCGATGACCCGGAGGAAGACAGCCCACCTAAATGTGCGTCCAAATTCAACTTCACGGAGCGCGATCTGACACGCGACGTCGATTTCAACATCAAGGGAGATGATGTGATTGTGTTTCTGCACATTCAGAAGACAGGCGGGACCACCTTTGGCAGGCACCTGGTCAGGAATATTCGCTTGGAGCAGCCGTGCGACTGCAAAGCGGGACAGAAAAAATGCACGTGCCATCGGCCCGGTAAGCAGGAGTCCTGGCTCTTCTCGAGGTTCTCCACGGGCTGGAGTTGCGGTTTGCACGCGGACTGGACAGAACTGACCAACTGCGTGCCTGTGATCATGGACAAAAGGCAGTCTCCAAAGCGCAAGAGGTAACGCGCCCCTCTCTCTCTCTCATAAACTAATTCGGAGAATTCATTTGCCGCTCTGTTGCCTCTAATGAAGGTAATGATGAAGTGTAAAATGTAGTCTGATGGTGTTTTCACACATGAGTCCACTCAGACCACTTTGAGTAGACCAAAATGGCATTTACACTCTTAGAAAAGTAGGTTTGGATCTATTTAATAAGAAAAATACTACTACTACTACAACAACTACTACTAATAATTATTATTTAAAAAAAATAATACACTGCAAAATTTGATGCATAAAACAACTTTTACTTAGAAATTGCTTGTACGTTTTAAAAAAGAAACGGCTTTATTAGTTCATTAAATTAAACGTGATATTTTGAAGAAAGACTGGAATAGTATTTGCTTATTTTTGTCAAATGTACTCCAATAATCTTCATTTACAATTTAGAAAATATTTTTTTACAATGAGTATATTAAGTCGTAATTTCTTTCTTTCTTTTTTTTTTTTACAGCAACTTTAAGACCTTGAGCAATGTAGTGAGGATATTTTGAGTGCACTCAGACCTCTGTAAGTAGTTCTAAAAAGTGAAACCAGTTCTGTTTACACTCACAATGTCCCTGGACTTAAAAAAAACAAAGTAATCAGGCCTTATTTTTGTCCATCACTAAAGATGTCTTATTTTACTTGCCATAAAAACACCTTGCTTTGGGAATCTAAGTTTATTATTAGTGACTGTTATTGTGAAATAATGAAGTTTTGTGTTCACAATGCACTCAGACCTCCTTTAGAGATCTCAGTCCAGTTTGATTTAATGGGGTCTCATTCGGAGAGTTCACATAAAAGCTATGCCAAAACACCAACCACTGAAGCGAAGTACTTAAGGTGAACTTAAAGGTAATATATTTCCTCTGGCACGCTGTACTGATATGTTGCTAATTCTGAACCAGTTGAATGAGAAATGATTTTGAACAACAAAAGCCAATCAATCAATGCAGTGTCTCCAAAAGAGATCTGTGCATTATGAATCCAAATCCATTTTCCATTTTTATGCCCTCTGCATTTTTCTTTCACTGTTTAGAAGGTATTTTAGTCCATCACTAGTCTTTTCTAAATGGAAAGATTAATCTACTTCACATATGATTTTAAATAGTTATATTTACCCTGTCAGAAAAGACAGTATAATTGGGGGTTTTCTTTGCCTGTGGCCACTCTGTGTCACTCAGTGATATTATTAATGTGACAGTGATATTATTAACTTATCACCCAACATGGTTTATGGCGAACACATTAAAAAGATAGAGATAGCCAGTCAAAATGACTAAATGTCAAGCCTAAAATGCTATTTTCTACAGTCTCTGTGACCATAGCTCTCTTACTCAGATTCTGTATTCCAGTTTAAATGACTGAGAGTCTGCGCT